TATATCAGACAAATTGAATGTACCCAGCGAACATGAATAGGCGGTAAATAGCAGGGCCATAGCCGTCAGCAGCGGATATGTGCCGGCAGCGGCAAACCGATATCGGCAAAATGTTAGAATAACATCGCTTGTGCCGCCACAGCTTGATGTACGCATATTTATTATGTTTGTTTGTCATCCATCCCGAAATTGACCATTATAGATATGTCACAATCACGCCACTGTCGATCCGACACTGGAGACAAACTCCATAATCTCATATTATAGCATAGTTTGGAGAATGTATGTTTATTCTCAGAACTGTGATTGTAGTATTGTCACGAGTAGAACATACGGTATATTAGTAATTTCGAACCATGAGGGTTTTATAAACATTAAGTTAATCAAATCATCCGTTGACATTGAACTATGAATACTGACCAATGAACTGTCATGAGAAATGTGCAAATCTAATAAAATGATGTATATAAATAGTGGATGTGAGGGTTCCGAAGTTAGTCTGGTCTGGGGCTACTCTTGACTTGACAAGAACTCGTCGTAATGGTCATTATAATGTAAGTTATTATTAGGTCTTCATATTCATTGTTGTTTATTCATATTTGTCATCACTACCCATAATGTTGCATGCTTCAATACATATTGTTATCTTTGAATATAGTCTCGTACTTTCAGTTACCCCTAAATTATTAGTGCCTATTCGAATATTACCTCTCGCAAACTATTAAGCCAAGCAAACCCCTTATAAATCGATATGGATGGACTAACCATCTATTCTATCGTGACAGCAAAGCAAATTGAAAGCATGGTTGCATACAAACCCTAGAGAATATACAGTGTAACATCTATTCGTTTCTGTTTTGAACGCAAAAAACAGATTTTGATCATTTTCATGTCTCCTCAGTAACTTCTTTATTTATGAAAATATTCAAATAGGAATTTCACATTCTCATGGCAGTTTTTCAAAGTGATTTCGAAAAAAATATGAAGTTTATACCAACTCTTCTAGAATTTGAGATATCAGCACCAACAGTTTTTCAAATGTAGGTCATAGCTCACTATGACTTAGTTACAAATAACTTTTTTGCTCTTACAGATGATATGTCGCAGTAATAGTTTTGTGTTGATAACAACGGAGTTATCGTCATTTATACGAAAACAAAAAATCATTTGGAAGCCGCCATCTTGAATTTATAAATTTTAACAAAAAATCATGATCCTCGACCACAAAAACCCCCACTTACCAATTTTGAATGGAATCGGACCAAATCTTTTCCGCCATCTTGGAGCAGCCATTTTTTTTTATTTCAACAAAAATCCCATAATGTATTGTCACCGAAATTATGAACACCTGCCAAATTTCAAGTTAATCGGAGTTATGGAATTTTTGTTGGAGTTAAAAAAAATGGCTGCTCCAAGATGGCGGACAAGATTTGGTCCGATTCCATTCAAAATTGGTGAGAGGGGGTTTTTGAGGTCGGAGATCATGATTTTTTGTCGAAATTTATAAATTCAAGATGGCGGCTTCCAAATAATTTTTGTTTTTGTATAAATGGCGATAACTCCGTTGTTATCGACACAAAACTATTACTGCGACATATCATCTGTAAGAGAAAAAAAAATTTGTAACTAAGTCATAGTGAGCTATGACCTACATTTGAAAAACTGTTGGTGCTAATATCTCAAATTCTAGAAGAGTTGGTATAAATTTCATATTTTCTTCGAACTCACTTTGAAAAACTGCCATGAGAATGTGAAATTTGAATATTTTCATAAATAAAGAAGTTACGGAGGAGACATAAAAATGACCAAAATCTGTTTTTTGCGTATAAAACAGAAACGAATAGATGTTATCAAAATATGTTTTCACATTATAGTTGGCCTTGACAAACTCCCCATTTGGTGTCATTTAACCGACCTCGTATCCCTCACCGTTAAAAAGATACCCATGGTGAGCATGGTAAGTGGGACACACTGTATACATGATCTAGTTAATCACTAATCAATTCATTAATGATTTTATTCTCATTCATTATAACAATAAGAACAAACTATTTGAGTAGGTACCCTAGAGAATCTAGTTGGATGAGCGGTCTCCACGTACAAGTTCTTCTTTTAGAGGAGAACTGCTTGTCTTTCAATATTCTAATTAATTGTTATACTATACGCAGATACACTTATATTTATGAATTCTCTCTTTCAATTAGAAGATTTGAATGCACATGCATCTACGAACAATTCCTAAGACTTATAGTAAATCAATATTTATTCACTGTTGTTTAAACCTTGTAATACTTATTGTAATTGTAAATACTTATTGTAATTGTACGCATGCGCATCACGCTATCTCATTGGAATTTTGTTGTGGGTTGTGGTTCGTTTTCGTTTCGTGGTGGTTTTGCGTGCCTGCGCCGGTCCAATTCACGAGAAGAGTGAGTTGTGCATCAATATCGTGGTTCCTCTCAAAATATGGTGTTTCATTTCAATGGTTTTGATCGAATCATTATCTTTTTTATGATGTATTCGGTAATTCAATTTAAGGAAAGTTGAAACAACAGCAGTGGCTGTTTCGAATAAATATTATTATTAGTAGTATCACAATAATATATCTCCATAATCCGTATGCATTTTTTATGGTTGATCCCAGCAAACTATCGTCTGATGATATCAAGAATTATAATATGTTATATAACAATTATGCTCGTTATCTACCAATTCAATATTGTGGTAATGATTTTGAGCTAAAAATATCTGTTCGTTATACAACAATGATGCACCAATGCGAAGTTCAGTTCTTTACCTATATTCGATAAATATTTGTTTCACAGTATAATAGATCAAAAACCGAAAAAAGTAATATGTGGCTGTAACATTATCAGACTACACCTATTCTACGTCATCAAATCAACCAAGTTATAATAGATATATCATATGGTCAAATATAATTAAAGCCTTGTTCTATTTTAATTCTGTTAACTGATGAATTCACAACCAATATCCTGTTGTCTGTCGGCAGTTTTTGGAGGGCGTCTAAAGGCCAGCGCAATATATGTTTGCTAGGTAGCATGTAACTAATCAGACAACTTTTCAATTTGCAGTACTTAGACGTTTCAAAACGGTCCGTCAATTTTTTTTGTCATAAGCGACATTCAAAATGTCAGAAAACAGTATTTTTGTATTCTGGGCATTCATACAAATGATTTGGAACAAAAATGAAACGGGCTGCTATCTGTCACTTATATGTCAGATTTGTTGACATTTTTGAAAATACAATCAGGTTAAACGCTACGCACAAAAACACATATTTTAGTGATGAAATAACAAAATCTGTCATCTAGTCTATCGATTTTACACAGTTTAAGCCGGGCTGCTATGAAACATGGTCTTGGTTACCATCTCTTGTACTAATAGCTGAATGATCGACAGATGTAATCAAGATTTCATGTAGGTATATAAGAGTAGTTTTATTTTTGGAGCCCATAACGTAAAAATACAGGGTATTATATGATGAATTTGCATTATAAGTTTGATGACCGATATTTCAGAAATGATATATGGCATACTATGATAAAAATGCAGGGCTGGACTTGGAGAATTGAAACTAGAATATTAATTTTTGACTGGTATTCTAGAATAGATGTTATTAGTTATATTTTTGTTTCATGAATCAAAATCACCTACAAGCTCCAAATCCTACGAGCAAGCCAAATATAAAAATAAATAAAAACTGAATTGGGCTGATAATATAAAACAACTGTAATGAATCTGATTTTTTAACGTAAATTCTCAGGATGTCCTCGAACAACTTCTACCATTCTACATTTATCAATCAATCAATCAACTTTATTATTCCCAAGAAACAACATTTGTTTATAGCAGGGAACATAGTGAATACATAAATATATTTGACAAAATAAAATAAAGAAGACAGTAAAATAAGACTCACACTCAAAAAGAATCTTTTTTTTTCAAGTTCAGATGAAAATGATCCTCAATTGACTCAGCTGTTAGGTACACAATTGAAAACTATAGTAGTTGTACAACAAAACTATAAAAATGAGATGTCAATATAGGCTGTAATATTGTAATATTGATGTCATTTGCATTTCGTAAAAGGTGATTGAAACGATGTTGGTTTAATTAGACAAAACTGTCTATTCAACTGAACAAAGAAACAATGTTTCCAGAGCTGAAATATCACCAACCGTTTAAAAAGATTCCGTCGCGCCAATAGTGGCAGGACAGCAAACATAATTTCCTCATTTATTTTGTTCATTCAAAATCATTAATAACTAGTTATCACTAATGGGATTGAACTACCCTGAAATTGATAAATAAGTCAAATTGATATCAAGGAATACAAGTTCATGTTAATGACAAAAAACACTCATTATGGAATACATAATGTTTCACATGGTTATTACTAGTTCAATGGTTATTAATGTAAATAGTGAATAATCGACAATACAATTTTTTTCTTCAACATTCTTGACTTGAAAGATGCAATTATTAAAAAATTGTAACGTTGATAAAAAACACCACTTATGAGATTATGTTATGAAAATTGATATAGGAGTATTTATAACTAGTCCGAATCAATTGCCATAATCAAATTTGGAAAAAAGCCTAATCCGTTTTATTTAATCTTGCTGTAGTATTTGTGATCTCAGTAGGCTAAGAAATTGTGATTGATACTTTTTTGCTGGACAAAGTAGATAATCAGGAATAGTATATTATGAGAAGAAAAAATCTCAAATCCCCCTAGCAATACGAAAGTACAGGTGGGGCGGACCAAATTGTAACACACTGTATAATTTTTGGCAATCGTTGCTCAGTTTTTATGCAATTTATTCAAAGCTCCACAGATTGATTCATATGTTATGTATAGCAGTGGTAAAATGAGTAATTCCAAAAATACTCATTATTATGCAATCACTCGATCAAAAAAAAAGGAAACGAGGTTTCAGAACATTATCATTAGGTGTGATGTAACCATAACATACCCTAAAACTCATTTCCAAGTTTTCTCCTCCCCAAATGTCCATTCCCTCGTCATATGATCCCAGTTCATAGAAATAATCCTTATCAATTGAGAATAGTCCTCCAGCCATTGTTGGCGTCCTTAGGGGAGCCGTTCTATCTCCGTTCCTTCTGTCCATTTCTCTTTGCGGGACACGATACCTAGAAAAAAGTCCGAATGAAATATTTGCCGTGGATCATCAGTTAGATTTCCAGAATAGAGTCTGTTCCGTTCATCTCCTTTGTTGTGAACTCAGAACAATATTGAAAACAAGAATTCCGAAAGTCTCAACAAGAAAAAGCCAAAGATTCGTCACTTATTTATGTCCTGTACTCTACACAGAGATACCTGATGAACTGAGAAAGTCATATTCTTACCAATCCTTCAAGAAGAAGTTGAAAGTATGGATTCAAGATATACCGAGAAAATATGTTCATTTACTGATCAACAGAATGAACAATATATAATTAAATCGATTCTAAATCCACCAAACTTTGAAAAAAAAACGAATAAATAAATAACATTGATTTCCGTCCAATGAATACGGAACACTACCTACCTATATTATCATCATTATTATTATTATATTTTTTTTCATATACCTCTTCATTCATTTTTACTCTAGTTAAAGCTGTACATCAATACTATTTTATGATACTTATCCATAATTATTTTTTACTCATAAGTTATAGTTTCGTACACGTATTCGTCTTCATGTATTTATTCATATTTGATAAGATATTATGCGGACTAGTTTGTGGATATGTGAGTGTGAAAAATCGAGGATGAAATGCCCATGTTCAAGGTTTACCATTTTTTGGGCGGTTGATACCTTTATTTGTCAATACCAGCTACCATCCACCTGATTGAATGAATTTTGTTTCATTGACATCGACAAATAAATTAATTGATTGATTTCGTCGAAATTTCCTATTTGATTCCAAATAACACTATTAATTTCTTGGTCACAATCGACTAGTTGGAATTTTTTCAGATTTGTTTGTTTTCTTTTCATTCACTTTATTCTTATTCATTCACTTACAACAAAATGCAATAATATAACAAGCCACGTGACATGTCACTACAATAATACTTTATTATGCTTCAATTTGGAATGATAATAAAGTGACAAGCCACATTTGGAAAAAAATTCATAATGCTGTATTTTCATCACTTGAGTCACTTCTAGATTGTTCAAAGTTAGGGTCACGGTCACTGTCATTGAATATCGACTCAACTTCACTATTTTCCTTGCTAGAATCGTCAGAATTCACTGCATTATCGGAGCAGCTTTCGCTCGTGTCGGCCATTTTGTGTGGCTTGTCATTATGTCGGGTGGTATCTAGAGAAAAAATAGACCTATGCAATAATGTGACCATAGGTTCTTCGCGACATTCATTAACGAAGGGCCGTAATAATTTTGTAGTGGCTTGTTATGCTATTGCATTGTTTCACAATAAGCCCTCAATCAGTATCCTTCCGTTCTAATCTTTTCACATAACTTCTAAACGGCTGAACCGATTGGGTTGAAATTTTATATAGGTATTTCGATGGTTTCCTGGATGATTGAAAAATACAATGGGATGCGGTAGGTGGCGCCGCGGTCGGTACGTCAACTACTAAATGGCTTGACCGATTGGGTTGAGATTCTTAATATGTACAACAACAAAAATACAAAAGATACTGAGAGAATTAGAATAGGTGTAAGTATATTATAGTAGCTATAGGTAAGCCGAGGTAAGCACAAAAAAATTAAAGATATCAAAAAATATTTACTGTAGATACGTGCATAGCTCAGAAGGAGTGCAACAAATGTTTTTTTTTTAATGGATACACCAACCGTGCGTAGCCGGACCGGGCAGCTAGTGTATTAATAAAGATCGGAATTGAATCGTTTATGGGAAGATCAAAATATTTCCTAAATTCCCCATATTTCAGATATTTCCTAGACACGTTCGAAAATTTCCAATATTACTATGTCCATTGGAAATTTCCATTTACAACACTAATTACAACTATTGAGACCTCACCATCTGAAGTTCAATTTCCAATTGAAACCGCCCCACGTCATATCCGATGCTGTTATATACTCGAACGTCTCGTCTGAAATCACATCTATGATGGGGCACACCACAGTCTTCCTGTCCTCGACGATCCTGGCTAGCAGGGGCTCCAACCAGCCTTCTGTGCACTCACAATGGGCATCCAGGAAGGTGATCACTTGGCCCTTGACGTGCTTGGCTCCTAAGAGGCGAGCTCTGATCAAGCCGGAACGTTTTTCGGTACGTAGGACATAGACTGGCACCGGCAGTGTTTTCACATAGTCTTCCAACTTTTTGCCAAGATGATCTGAATGAGATAGAAAAAATCTTAATCTTCATAAAGTTTGTTTCAATGATCATTTCTACTCCAAATCAACTTGAACGAGCAGAATTGCGAAAATTGAGGTGTGAAAGATTCTAGAGAAATATGAAAGACATATACGTAGTTAATATACTCCCAAGTAGGGTTTGCTGAGGAGCTACAAGATATTGAATGCATCAGGGCTGTCTAGATTTATCTAAAATTTTTCATATCCAACAAAATGAAATACGTATTTTTCGAGGTGTTTTCATGATTTGGCAATGCATTAGAATGCAAATAAGATAAAGATACAAAAGTAATATGAATAATTCCTTCAAGAATATTGTTGTACCTACTTAATTTCTTCTTATCAAGAATGCTTAATTAAAACATTAGTTAGGTACGTTGGTTACCCATCAATAATATGTCCGTTTGTTCGTGGATCATGCAGAAGTATCGCAAAATTAGAATATATTGCACACATAATATTTTTCATCAAATTAACAAATTATTTCCTTAAAAATCAATTTATATCGAGAACGGCAATATTTAGGTATAGGACATACTCAATGAAAATTGAAGGTAATATGGATCTGGAACCGTTAACGTTAACAAATACAGGGTGCACCATTTGAAATAATGAAGTTTTGGGATCTTCAAATGTTCAATATTTCCAACAACTGATCTTGGACTCTATTCGTGTGAATATATTTCGTTCGAATGTGCAAATGGAAACCACAATTTTTTTTTACCAAATCAGTTTTTCATGAAAAAAAGTATAATAACTTGGCAACCGTGGAATCAAATGGACAAATACAGAAAACAAGAAACAGTTGTGTAGTAATTTTGATGGTGCATACGAAAATGCAATTGAAAACAGGGTGTACCATTTAAAATACACATCATCAGCCTCTCTTCAAAATGACTATATCATCAAATTCTAAAATCTAAGTTTTTAATGTAGCAGAAAAATTGAATATTTTCAGACACACTATTACAACAAACTTTCGCTAGTTGCGAAATTTGCTAGTTGCGAGACTTGCAACATAATGAATAATATGATAGTGGATGCTTGAATGAAATATTATACAAGGGAAAAAAGTAGTAGATTTTAGCTACCGGTTGTGTTATATCCCGACCCGTAGAGGAGGGAGACAAAAAACCGTGAGCTAAAATGTTTTTCCCGTGTATAATACACTTTTTTTTCTGTGGCAGGAAAAAGGACGAATCAATATTAGAATATATTACATTATATTGAAATCAGAAAATTATCGACGTGTAATTTGAAGTTTTTAACAGTAATGACACCTGCGTTGCAGGCATCTTTATAATTCTTTTGCAGTAATCAAATATCTGTCAGTCTGATTCTGTGATTTGATTTTAGTAAATTGCGAATTTAGTGGTTGTTTAGTAATTTACGTAACCGCGAAGTCGATTGGATGATAAAAGGACTTGCAGTTCTGTGGAAAAAAGTAATTTATGAATAGTGTCATTTTATAACCTGTCAACAGAGATGAAATGCAAATTTTTTTTCCCGTCACAGAAAAAACAATTTATTTTAATTTAGTTGCAATATGACTTTCTGTTTTCATATGAAATGTTACTGTGATGATCATAGTGTCAATATGAGATACAAACAGTTTTCTTCCATCGTTACAAGATTCAATGCCAAAATAATGATTTGCCTGATCATGTATTACCTCGTTCACTCGCATCGTCAACTAGAATAATTTCCTTCAGGAGTGGCCTAGGTGATCTATTTATCACGCTCCAGACAGTTCTCAAAAGGGTAGACCAAGCTTCGTTGTGGAATACTATCACTATGCTAGTGGTTGGCAGAAGTTTGGGGTATCTCTTATCTTTACAACTGTAACAAAGAAACATTAGATATACAGGGTGTTGCAAAATTCGACCGACGAAGCTTGACAAGGTGAAAGCCTTCGTGATTTTTCAATGACTAGTTGACAGTTCTCGTAAATTGTTTTTCATCATTTGGATCTAATCCCCCATTTGATAGTGTGGGAGTACCCTGACTTCAGGGTATACCCACTAAACACTCCACCCCGTTTGTAGGCTCGTCGGACTGATGTCTCCGAGTACACTTAGGCCTAGTGGCCCATTGTATCTTACCTACATGCCGTAATCAATTTTATCATATACGACTCATGATGCTCATTGAGGGCGACTTCAATATGAGAGACTCTTTTCGTTCAGGTTCCTGAAGATTACTCTCCCGATCTCTGTTATCGTCTAGGAAGAAGGCCAAAAGTTTTCCTTCTCCTACTAGTGACGGGGGAAGGGGTTGGTCCAGCCCTGTGGTGCCTCCTGCACAGGGCTAAGGCAGTTTACTCTGAGATGTCGCCCTGTTTCCCAGAGGCCGCGATAGCGACACCATACCTCGGTGCTATTCATCAATCGCCACGGGTTCCCACAGCTTGGATTAGGTTGCCAGAGCCTGGTTGACCAGTACTTGGTCACCTAGACAGATATCAGCAAATTGCCCCATCCTCAACACAGATGTCCACAAATAATTGTCCCATCTGGCCTGGAGATAGCAAATATGTTCCAAAATGTTTCATCTGTAGAGCGGCCGCGGTCTGTCCTCCCCACACCACTTGATCGTAAGGTTGGGCTTGGAAAGGGAAGAGGAAAAGAGAAGAGGATATCACCCAAGACAAGTTGAAGTTTGGTGAATATCCGGCTAGGGTACCTCGGGTTCACCATTCCTGTACTCACAAGTTGTGAGCCCCTGAGTAAGTGAATATCTCGAAATTTCAATTCTAGTTTTTATAATTTATTTATTTAAATTATCATCACATATGGAGCATTGGTCTGGGGAGTCAAAACTAGTCCATAGTCCACAAAAGCTGCTAATCTAAAGAAAGTATATGCATTACCGGTGCAATGAGAACGTGTCCCTCTGCCGCAATGGAGGTGATTCTAAACCTCACTCCTCTACATTTAGTTGTGGAGAAAGGGGCAAAAGAGTACGACAAACAAAATGATTAGAGGAGTGATCAAAGGCAGGCCAACCAGTCCACCCAACAAGCAAATCCAGGAATTACATCAGGATGAGATAAAGAAAAAGTACAGCTTGGTGAAACAATTCAGCACGAGGCTGAGTTGCAAAAAAATGGAACAGTGAATCCATGGATATTGAGCTCAAAGAAGGAGCCATAAAGTGGTACACAGATGGTTTCAAAACCGAAGATGGAACTGGAATAGGAGTGTACGGGCCTCGTACCAAGTACTTCGAAAGCCTTGGCAAATTCCCAAGCATATTTCAGGCGGAAGTTCACGCTGTATAGAAATGTGTACATTTCAATCCAGAAAAAGCTATAAAAGATGAGGGTTATCAGCTCTGAGATGGTTTGAGAATTCCGGGAAAAACTGAACGAGCTAGCCAACAGAAATACAGTCATCCTTCTATGAGTTCCAGGACATTCTGGAGTAGAAGGGAATGCAGAAGCGGACAATCTCGCCTAAAATAGTACATTATACACCTAGGGAATAAAGTGGTATTTTAAATCCCAAGTCAAAAAGTTTATAGCACGACCAACGGGTGTAGAAATAATCTCATCGTCATCGCTTGACATTCTTAAACTGAAATTGAGGAATTTCAACAAAAAATAATCATTTTCAAAAAATATTATTTCTCTGCTTTCGGTTTCGATTAATAACTTTTGATTTAGTGATGAAAAGATGAGTACCTACACATGACACATCGCCTAAGCAACAAAACAAAGTCATCTATCAACATACCTATGAAAACCGTGCGATCGCTCGCTTTACGCACGCTGTGCGTAAAGAGAAGCTTATTGACATTGTTTTGTGTACAATATTCATCACTTACAATAGTAGTCATAGGAAAAATAGTTTAACACTCTTTTCAATGTGAAGCTCAACACATTTTTGAGGCATGAGTAATTGTTCTTATCTACATCTTTGGGATTTTCTCTCTTCAAACTAAAATATTAGTAATATTTCAAAATACCTGAAACAAGGCCAAATCAGAACAAATGGAAGTCTCAACAAATTTTTTGGATATTAACCAACGTAGTTTAAAGGTTCAATTTTCCGTTCGGCGATAATGTTTAATGGTTTTTGATAGCATACTCAATAGATGTCCTTATGTAACCTCTGAACAAAATGATTGGAACTGTTCTGTGTAACTAAAGCAAAGAAAAAATCCATGAAAAGTGTTCAATACAACGAAATGTATGGCCGATTTGGTTATATTATAGGTTAGAAAAAATTGCATAATAGATATTTTTCAATCAATTTGGGTGTGCCGAACAAAAAATTGTAATCGCCGAACATTAATATTGCGAATGCGCTGCGTCGGGTCCAAATTTCGATTCATCCACATTTCCATCAAATTTCGATAGGCCCACATTTCGTTAGACCCACATCCTCCGAACATACGACCGACTTATAGACTGATCTAGACCGCCAGTTCTATAAGGAAATAGGTGAGCCACTCAGGAGATCGAACTGGTGAAACTGAGTCATGCGCATTTAGGAACTGTCATGTTACACTACTTATGAATCCGAGGAACATAGGCGTATCGAAGGAAGAAGGTTGGGAGGAGTATTAAAACTGTTTTAATCTTCTCCTGAAGATGCTGACATAGTTAGCAAAACACGTGTCGAGGTGTAAAAAAACGGTTTGTTTAGTGGTAAAACAGTGTATTATCGTGCCAAAGGTTCCAGTTTTCGATATACCATATTGTTTGACGGATAGTTCTAAGTGACGGGCGAAGTCAACCCTCCTACTAAATTTTGTACATAGCTACTCATCTAGAACTGGTCATTATGATTTTCTCTGTATCCATCAGTTTATCGTGAAAATCGACAAATTGATCACTATAATGAATACTTGTGAAATGCACTGCATGCCGAACGGTAAGTAGAGATTATCATATCATATTATGAGCATTTGGGCGACAATTTACAAACGTTTTTTTCGGCCTGTAGATCCATTCAAATTGTTCATTCATTTCTTAATATTCTGCATTACATTGAATTCCTATGAGAACTTCAAACGATAATATATTTACAGTATGATGCAAATGTATGGAATAAATTCATTTCAAAACAAGACGACTTCCGAAAAAAATCCAAAAACTAGACTTCAGAACTTTATTAATTGATTTTTTTTTTCAAATAGACGACCCTTCGTTGTTCAATTCTCAGTAGTAGACCTCTGCAAGATTCAGTTAATCAAATGATAATCCATTTTAATTTCAATTTTCTTATGCACATGACCCCTGTTTTCATTTAAAAAAATCGTTCATTACGTCATTACTCCAACACCGGTGACGTAACATCTCTCATATGGATATCATGAGATGAGGCTTCAAAAATGAAACCTCACTTGTTTTTGGATTTTTTTCAAATGTCGCCCATTTCTCAAATAATGAATTTATTCCATACATTTGCATCATACTGTATACACGCATATACTCTAGAGTCTAGACCCTTAGGACAAAAATACGCAGGGATGGTTGGCCCCCGTCCCAACCAAAATGTTCGGCGATCATATTAACTTGAGTTTTTGTGAATAATCAGTTGAATTAACAAAATGCCGAACATTAACGAATAAACAACCCTATTTCATATTGATCATTCCGTGTATAAATAGTATTTAAAATCATCGCCACCACAATATAATTCTACATTACTGGACTACTGGACATGTTTATACTTATAGGTACTTTTGACGAATTGTGATTGAATGTCAGTTAAAATTAAATGTCAAACGAGTATGTAGAAACATATACCACTCGATTATCACCAAGTACGTGATTTTATAGCCTGAAAATTCGTTTCATAATGAAAAGTACGTGTTGACATTGGCCAAAATCTGTATCAAAATGAAAATCCATATTTTGAACTGAACATTACTATTGATTAATATGCCTATTCTGAGAACCAGTGCAATTTCTTCAATTTCCTAAAACTTACCAATCACCAGGCATTTGTAGTGATGAAAAGCTACCTTGCTTTCCCAATAACCGTAAAATATGCATACTTTGCTTTCAATATCAACATGCCTCTATATACTTTGACAACAACTGTCACAGTCACTACCGTCAGATAATTTTCAAATGTTCTTAACACAACGTCGTTTCTTTTTCAAACTGTATTTTTATACTGTAGTAGTGTATTTATCTCCCTAAAATACATTCGAGAAATGTTTTTATTGATAAATACATTTTAAATTGTATTCAAATGTTATCATTTGGCAAAAAATCTCGAATCAAGGGAAGTAGAAAAAATCGCTTGCCATGACAATAAAACTTTCATACAATTAAACATGTATTCATCGATAAAAACATCATATCTTATATATTTACCCCCGATAAATCGGTAGCAGATATTTATGAAATCTGGTACATAAAGTGTTGATGAGAATACTCGCACTTTTCGAAAAAAAATTATCGGCACAAACGTAGGAGTGGGCTGGGCTGGCTACTAGAGCTCAGTGGGCAGATTATTCTGTCGAACTCAATTTTTCGGAGGGGGGGATGGCAAATGCCCCTGATGGTGCCCCCCCTCCCCCCCTGGATCCACCGCTGGAAGGACCGACAATGTATCTCACATTTATATTTTTGTCGAGCACAGTACCAAACATCGCAACTGTCAAAATTTTTGTAATATAAATGGCATCTGATATTGAAAAGGAATATTCTCAGATGGATATACACTGTGTCCAAGATAAGGAGGGCCAGTATGGGGATATTCTAAACTATAAGAGATACTTCTTTTTCAACGCCTACTTTTTATGTCGATAGCAATGAACACTCATTTTTAAAATTCTCGTAAAGTTCAAGAAATAATCTTGCAAATTCAAGTTGATGTGCT